CCCCAGCCAGCATGGCTGTGCCCACCCCTGGGGCTCTGCTCCTGCCCTCTGCAGGGGGGTCTCTGGGTGGGGGCGCTGTGGGTCTCAGCCTGCGGCCCAACTAACGTGTGACAACCAGGTGGCGAGGTGCCGGTAGAGGGCCACGGGGGGGTCTTGAACCTGCCCCCTCCCAGCTGCTCGGGAGGTCAACTCAGCCCAGGCCAGGGAGACCCGGCGGGCTGGAGAGCCAGGGGTGCTGTGGAAAGGTGACAGCCGAGCCCCCAGGCTGACTGCAGCCGCCAGGCAGGAATGTTCAGTCCCAGCACGGGCCTGGCTGCTCTGCCCAGTGACACACCCGGCGACGGGGGCCTTTCTCGGGGCAACGCCAGAGCTGGGAGCAGACCCTGGGCCTCGTGCCTGCCACTCCCTGCTCCAGCCAGGGACCACGCTCCCCAGGGCTACGCAGCCCCCTGGCCCTCTGCGGTGCTCCCTCGCCCTGAGCCCCGGGGCCTGGGCCGGGGGAAAGCAGAGCTGCTGCCTGGGCAGGCGAGGCCGGAGCCCGGCCCAGGGACGGGCCGCAGTGATGCTGTGCACCACCCGGCCAAGCGTGGAGGTTAGTGGTCACGTGACAGACAACACGTCACATGACAGGCAGAGCCCAAAGAAAATTTGACAGACCAGTGGGCTCTTCCTGGGGCCCCCCTGGCCACGCCCCTTTGGCCAGAGGTTCACTCCTGTGCCTGGGAGAGCCGGCTGGCCTGCGCCCCCTTACCTGAAATAATGTCCTCAATGGCCCCATCGCCGCCCTCGTAGATGAGAGGCTCCTTCACCAGCTGCCTCTTCTTCAGCTCGGCGATCATGTCCATGGGCGGGCGCTTGGCCTTGTGGATGGGGGACTGGCAGCCCCCAAGAGGAGACGTTAGTGCCTGGCCCTGGGCAGAATCGCTTCACCCACCGCAGAACAGCAGCCGGCAGCCGCGGCCCAGCCCACGTGGCAGGCAGGGCGCTTGCTGGGGGGCGGGAGCTGACATGCAGCTGGCACCAACACCCTGTCTCGTGGGAAAGGCTCCCAGGCTCCTGAGCCAGCCCACAGGCCCAGGTCCAGCTCGTACCTTTGGCTCCTGCTTGGCGGGGGAATTGGACTCTGCTTCTTTGGCAGCTGCTTCCTCCTTCTTCCACGTCTCGATGTCCTGCTCCGCTTTCTTGGGAGGGGAGGGGAGGGGAGGGGCACTGGTTACGCAGGCTGGGCACCCTGCCCCGGGCAGCCCCCTCGCGGGACCCAGCGGCCGCACTCACAGCCTGGCTGGGACTGGCCCTGAGCTCGCCTGGGCAGTGGCCCTGCTGGTCTCTGCTGGCAGGGGCGAGACCCAGGGGGATCCCGGGGCTGCTGCCACCCTCCGGAGCGTCGCCCCCAGCCCGCGGGCAGCAAGACCCGGCCCGGCCCCGGGCTCCGTTACCTTGTAGGCTTTGATGAAGCGCATGAACACAGGGAAGAACATGGTGGGGGGGCTGGTCTTGGGGTTCTCCCCGAAGTACTCCACAGCTGACTCGTAGGCCTCCTGCCGGTAGGCGAGAGCCGTTAGTGCCGCCCCACCCAGCCAGGGAGCCCTGCCGCCTCCCTGCAGCCAGCTGGAGTCAGCTTCTGGGGCTGCTCTAATGCCTCCTCCCCCACTTCCCCCAGCCCCTTCCAAGCAGGAGCCGGCTCCAGAGGCAGAATAGCCCCAGAAACCGCCTGTCACGTTACTTTGAAGGGGAGCAGCCAGGATCACTGCTGCACCCATGGGGGAGGGGGGTGTTTGCCCCAAAAGTGTATACACAGGGGGCCATGTGAGGTGTCAGACAAAGCCTACGCTCTACTGCTGGTGTATGTGCTATTCATGTACTTGTAGGGGGTCTGTATGTGGAGTTATAATGATGGACTCTGTTGATGTTTGAAGATTCTCTGTCTGAAGCAGAGCAACGAGCAAGGAAAGCTCAGCCTATGGCTCTGCTAATTAGCAAGGAGACACTGAATCTCTAGGTGCCAATACACATCTCAGGAATGTGACTGATACCTAAGGGCTACCAGCATGGGACACAGGGATAGGCCACGGACCAGGTGACCTGCTGCAGCCAAGAAGATGCTAGGAGAGGTATATAAATGCCATGTGGCACCCTCCATCTTGGTCTTCAGCTCAGCCCTTGATCCCAGAGGCAGCCTTGCAGGGAACCCCGGGCCGCAAAGAACTGTGGACCCATCCTGACATAGGATATACACCAATGACTTTTAAGCCAACAGCTATAACATCTCTGCTTCGAGCCTGCATCGAGAACTGGGAGATTCGATGCATGTAATGTATTATCTTTTAACATGCTTTTCTTTCTTTTAGTAATAAACCCTTAGGTTTTAGATTCTAAAGGACTGGCTCAGCATGATCTTGTGGATGAGATCCAGAGCGTACATTGACCTGGGAACTGTGGCTGGTTTCTTGGGACCGGAGAACCCGTTCGGGGTAGGTAAGATTGGGTTCTAAAACCCCTCACCTGTGTGTTAGGCCCGGGGCTGTTTGGGGCATGGATAGAGCTGGGGTGTCAGACGGGTTTGCTCGTGAGGCGTCTGGCTGGCCAGACAGGCAGCTGAAGCGCTCTGTGGAGCTGGTTTGTGGCCTATTTAGGAAGGTCTCCAGTCAGGGGCAGTAAGGAGCCCTGAGCGGGCACCCTCAGCTGTGCCCAGACCCGGCCCAGTCCGTCACAGTGGTGTATTCGGCAGGATCCACAGATCTTGGTCAACGGAGCTTTGGGTCAGGACCCCGCGCTGTCTACATTTGGGTTTTGGTGTTGACAGTTTGGTTGGTTAAAGAGCCGCTGCAATGAGTCAGCACCAGTAGGAAAGTCTGAACAGAGAGGCTCGGAAGGGTTTGTGCTCAGAGGGAGGCACTGACTTTAGGAAGAGCCTACTAAGCAGCAGCTGACATCTTGCTACTGCAGAAGGACCAGCGGGCAAGAGAGCGGCTCCCACCCGATGCCACGGATGCTGTTGCAGAAGAAATTAGAAAGCAGTAGGCATTGAAGAAAATGGAGCTGGAACAGGAGAGGGCCCTGGCCAAGATACGCGGAAAGGAAAAGGAAGCGGACCACACACGGCGAATGGAAGAGCTGAGGAAGGAGCTCCAGATACTTAGGCACCACAACAGGTACAGCAACCTGAGAACCCACCCCCACTTGCCAACAAGAGTTGGGAAAGGATCTGTCCCTTATACCAGGAGAACGAGGATATTGAGGAGTTTTTGGCCACCTTTGAACGTATTTGCAGCGTGAACCAGATCCCCTGACCAGCGCATGCCTGTCCTGATGGCCAGACTGACTGGCAAGGCCAGGGAGGTATTTAATGACCTGGGGGAGGAAGAAGCTTTAGACTACAGGCGGTTTGAAGACTCTGCACTGAAACGGGTCAGGGTTACCCCCGAATCTCACCGGGTTAAAGTTAGGAACTTTCAAATGTCCAGTGATTGTACCTGTGTGGAGAGCGCTCACAAGCAGATGGGCTTTGTTAAAAAGTGGGTTACCGGGCCTAAAGCAAAGGGGAGCTATGAGAAAATGCTGGATTTGATCACATTGGAGCAGTTTCTGAATGTGCTGCCTGAGCAGGTCAGGGCGGCTGTGTGTGATCGGGAGCCTGAGTCGGTCCTACGGGCTGCGGAGTTTGCAGACGCCCATGCCCAGAACAGGGCGCGGGACGGGCACAGACCCCTTGGGGAGATGCAGCACCTTTTGCCACAGTTTAGATGAAGGGAGGGGTTCAGGACCAGACTCAGCCCTGAATCTAACAAGGGAGCTCAGAGAAGCCCCGAAGACAGGAGTGCTCACCCCACGGATAAGCAGGCCAAATGTGGCAGATCTGGCCATGTAAGGCCTGAGTGTCCAGACATAAAGAGCAGCCGGAGGCCAGCAGCTCCTGGCCGTTCCATAAGCAGCAAATCTATGACGCCACCCTGAGTCCAGTTGTGAGCACTGCAGTGGCAAACGTTAACCCAGTAACCTACGGTGGTGTGGGGGAAGGCACTGAGCTCACCCAGCATGTCGGGATTGAGGCGTGGAAGGGCAGCGAACAGTTCATGGGGGAGGCGAAGGTCAATGGGGTCGAATGTAGGGGCTGGCGAGACCCTGGCTCTGATATCACAACAGTTAAGGGGCACCGGTGTGATGTAGTGGGGGGTATCTTGCTGGTTGCTATGCTGGGCGGTGGGTTGTGAGTGACCCCCACTGGCTGCTGGCTGCAGCACGGCCCAGCAGGGCCGGGGAAGAGTCATTATGCAAGGGGGCTTCCAACCTGTCTGACGAGTTATCTCCGAGGGAGTAGAACAATGGGAAGAAGGGGAGTGGAGCCCTGGCTGGGGGCAGGGCTGGAAGTGAGTGGGTTAGTTTCTGTCTGGGAGCATGGAAGAGACAGCCTAGGCAACGGGCTGGAATTTAGGGGCCCAGTCTCCCCCATCTCAAGGGGGGGCTGAGGCATCGTAGGCCTGCCCTGGAACCAGATTACATCTGGGCTGGGCTGTATCCCGGGGAAGCAATAAACTCCCTCTGTTCTACTGGCTGGTGGAGTCTGTCCGTGCCATTACGGGGGCGCAGGAGACGGGAGAACCCCAATGCGCCGTCACACCTAGTGAAACCGGAAGACGTGTTGCCTGGGGAGTGTGTGACATTAATGGCCTTGTCTGAGTACTCGCTGAGCCTGCCAGTGGTTAAAGTCCATCTCGAGTGGGGGGGTTTAGGGGGCAGGTGTTGATGGCTGTCCAGGATTTGATCCCAGCTGAGGTCTTGGTGGGGAATAACATAGTGGGTGTGCCGCACCGGGAGAATGCGGTAACCAGGTGTGACGGCGCGTTGGGGGTTCCCCGTCTCCTGCACCCCGAAATGGCACAAACAGACTTCACCAGCCAGTGGAATTGAGGGTGGTTTATTGCTCCTCCAGCACAGCGCAGCACAGATGTAATCTGGTCACAGGAACTGGGCTAGGATGCCTCCGCCCCCTCTCCCCCTAGGCTGTCCCCCCCACCCTCACAGACAGCCAGCCACCAACTCACTAAATTCCCTTGCAGCCCTGCCCCCCCAGTCAGGGCCGCATTCACCTTCCTTTGTTCCTCTCCATGGGGGGTGTCTGGCCACTGGTTCAACCAGTTTGGCCTTACCTCTGCCTAGCGAGGTTTTCCCTGCTGGGTCTTGCTCCAGACAGCAGGGGTCACCACAGCCCAGAAAGTACCCCCACTACGTCACACCAGGTGAGTGAAAGAAGCTGTCACAGTCACTAGCTGTGTGCCTGGTGGTAGGTGAGGTTGGGTTCTATAACCC